CCCCGGAGCGGAGCTGGTAACTGACGGCTCATCTGGAGGCTGCAAACCTGCCGAGGGGCCTGGCGTGCTCTTGGAAAGTGCAGCGGGGTTGGTAGCTGGTTTGCTGTTCGGTATTGCAGGGAGTCGGGGTGATAGCGGGCTCCGGGTCGGTTTCGAAATGAGCGGGAGCAGCGCTGTCACCGAGTTCCAAATGCTGCTGTCAAGTGGGAAAAGTTTTATGCTCCTGTCAACCCAAATCCCATGGCAGTTGGCGGTGACAAGTCCTGAGGTGTACATCTGGCGTGATATGTGCCAAACTACCTTTTTTTTTCTCCCGCCCCGATGATGTATTTTCTAAAACTTACTGAGTAGTGCATGTGTTAAGGACTGTAACTCCATGTAGCTGGATGCTCAGGTGGCAATAACTTAGTGTTGCCTTGTGTTATAAACATAAACCGTATCTCAGTTGCCTGGCAGTGAGAGGCATGAGGTGCCTTGACTTCTTCCTACCCTAAAGTGTTCCTCCTCTTCTCATGAAACTTGCTGTGAGGAAGATTGCTTTAGGTGACAGCTTAAAAAAATGAAGGCAGCTTTTGATCTTGTAAGGGTCTCTGCCTGATATTTCGCAACGTTGCTTTCATATAGCAAGTGAAATTCATGTATAATAAATCCAGTTATAGGACAGGTGGCTGCTGCGTGCTGTCTCCTGTCAGGCCAATAAGAAACTCAAGCTGCAGGTCTCTTTTTGATTAAGGCAGAAAATAAACTGGATAAAAGTACTGTGTCCTGTAGAGACTTGCTGCAAAACCTTCCTAAGTGTCTTTGTCCTTCTGTGATAACCTGGGGTCTTGTTGAGAGCAGGGAGAGAGAACAGTAACCTTTTTTGAGTGTTTTGCTAGAGTCGGTGAAAACTTAAAATGTTTTTGTTACTTCTCACCTGCTTTTAATGGCTTTAAGTACCTTTGCAGTTTGCATATTGGTTTTACTTTTTGCTCTTGAATACACACCTATTAAAGGGTTTTCATGAGAAAGCCCATCTTCTTTTGGGTCAACATAGGCTAGAAAAAGTTGTGACTGAGTGATGCAGTGATTACACGTAGCACACGTTGACTTGTGGTTTAGTTCACTTGGGTTTTTGACCTGTCATTTCTTACGTGTAATGCTTTATAGTAAACAAAGTACTTTGACAGCTCACTTGGGTAGTAGGGGGAAAACAGCACATCCTTGGTAGCCGCTGGATGCGGGTACATCGGTGTTTCCTTTGCATGAGGAATTAGAGACAGCTAAGTTTGAAAGCTTTCCCAGTACGCTTCTGGTAACTTATTTTGGAAACCCGTATGTGCTGATGTGACTTACACCAACTAAATTGTGGTTTGGGAAATATGTATATTTTACAAGCTTTTGATAGCACTGTGACATTGCACCTTAATTACTTGTGCTCACGTTTGTGTCATAGCCTTGATCTGACCTCGGTTTTGCAAGGGAGCAGTAGTTTATCGACTTCTGTAGTGGCAAACTGAAGCAGTTGTGTTTTGCCACTGTCTAACTGGACTCAGCGATGCAGTTGCTGCATGGTGGGAAGAAAATCCTTCAGAGGGCTGTCAGTTGTCAACTCACGTTCTTGGTCTCTCGTCTGCTTAGTGAGATAAAGCAGGATTTTGTGTGTTAATGTTGATTGTGTGTTGATAACTATAAACCGGGTTTTATTTTCTTATGTTAATGGTTTGTTGATAACTGTAAACCAGGTATTTTGTATGTCACATAGCAAATGTATGTTCTGTAGTAACTGCTAAAGTATCACTGTCCCCTATGTGTCAGGAGTACGATGCTGCATCCTCTCTATGTGTTCTTTTTTGCTGCTTAAAAAAAAACCACCACAAAACAAACAAACAAAAAAAGAACCTTAATGATGGATGAACACAAGGGCACAAAGCATCCTTTGAATTGCTATTCATACTGGTATGGGGCTGCTGGTTTACCAGTGTGGATGATTTTTTCCATATTGGCCCTGAAGACAATAAGATGTTGCACTGGGAAGGGCTTTTGGTGCTTTGTTGAGGAGAGATCTGGAACTAATGTGAAAGGTGGATAAAGAGATGGGGAATTGGTGCTCCAGTTTATAAGCCTGAAGAATTTTTACAGAAACATCTGAAGCTCCTGAACCCCTTCCTCTATATGGAGGTTGGATATGTTTGTCAGAAGCTGAATGCTCTTCTTAATTCTGTAAGAGGACAGCTAATTGAACAGAGTTAGTTCACATGAGCAGCTTTTGATTTGAGAGAGTTTTACTTGTGGAAGTACAACGTGATTGTACATGAATTGCTGAAATGTTTGTGTGTTGGAAGTGGAGGAGTTGGAAACATGCTACAGTGGGTTTTCAGGTTTTCTGATAACTGTGCATGTGATTGTGGAATATGTTGGTGCAGTGAAAATGGACAAAGTTTTGTAGAAGGCATTTTTATAGATCATAATGGATCATACCTTTTGTTTTGAGCCTACTGTAAAATCTTCTTTATCAATATTAGAAGAGATCATCTCAAATCAAATCCTCTTTTGAATGGGTATGTAAGCCCTGTGTCTAATAACAAGGAATGTTTCATTTGTGTGCATATTGGCTTGATTTTTAGTTGATGTAGATCATAAAGTGTTTCCTCTTGAGACACAGCAGTTGTTGATTTTTCTTTCCCTCTTTTTTTTTTTTTTTTTTTTTTGTGGCTTACTAATGTGATGATGGTCATGATTTGATTCCAAACTTCCAGTGTGCTTTTGAAAATACAAGTCGTGGTTAGATTTATCAGCTGTAGATGTTTGCCCAACAACATTGATTCTGTAGGTTGCATATTGGGAAGATGATATCATGATCATATTGGATTATGCCAGGTGTCTATGTCGTGTTCTTGGGAGGAAAGATAAGTTTTGACCATCCAGTACTTTGCTTTTTTTACTGCTTTCTGGGGAAGAGACTGGACTAAACTTTCTTTCTTTTTTTTGGTTTACTAATATTGGCATATGTCCAGTCCAGACTAGTACAGAAATGGTTCTGTTTAACTGCACTGCCGTATAAATCTATTCTGCCTGTGTTTGTTCGATATGCAGTTGTGTGGAGGCTCTGCAGATAACTAAATAGAATTAAGCCTGTGGTGGGCACGCAAGGAAGTAGTAAAATATCTTTTTGTAGCTCTTCGTAGTTTCTTGGGATAACAGAGTAAGCAACTGCAGCAGAAGATGGTGCAAAACTTTTGCATACGTGTAAGTCTTTATCTAATCTGGCCAGGATCGTTTGAGCAAGTTCTTAAAAAGTGCAGGCCTGTGTGTGTAGTATCACTGCTGAAATACTGCTGTTCCTTATGTTAGGTAACTGAACTCATAAAGCTTGACAGTACAGGATTTTGGGTGAGACCCATTAACAGATTAACCATCTTGTCTTAACAGGAAAATGTTTATCGGCGGCCTTAGCTGGGACACTACAAAGAAAGATCTGAAGGACTATTTCTCTAAATTTGGTGAAGTCGTAGACTGCACTCTGAAGTTAGATCCCATTACTGGGCGATCAAGAGGCTTTGGCTTTGTACTCTTCAAAGAATCGGAGAGCGTAGATAAGGTAGTATTAATGTAATGAAACAACATGTTCAATTTTAGGTAGCAAAGATACAGCACTCGGATGATTGAATGCATAATTGTACGTGATCTGTTAAAGGTGATTCTAGGATACAGTATGTTTAAGATGCTTACTGAAATGTTTTTTTCCTAAACCGTCTTACTTGCGATGTAGCGGCCAGGACCAGTGGTGATTTCCAAAGTACTCACTCAAAGTTTTGGTACTTACAGGGGAGTGTGCTGCAAGCCAATGGACTTGAGCACTTGAAAAATACTGTATATAAACGTCTGCTGTCTACTACTTTGAAAGCAGTAATTTACAAAGGACTTAAAGTCTTTGCATCGCGGAGCTGCAACGTGAACCCCTAGAGTAGAGCCAGTGACTTTGATAGATTTGGGTTTTATCCAAGCGAAAAATAGCTGTTAACCTTTCTAAGATGCTGTTGACACAGCACACTGACAAGTTTTCACCTTTATTGACTTTTGGTGATATCTAAAGTACAGAATCTCTACTTCATTATGTTTGAGGATGGGATTGTAGAGTACTTCCTGAGAAATGTTACATTCTTACTTCTCTTGGGTGATACATGGCTCTAGGTGACTCTTGAAAGGCTTTGTCAGAAGTGTCTGTGTCAGTGGATAGTGATCAAAATCATGGAACTGTTTGGTTTTGTGCAACAAATTATTGCTGTAATCAAAGTATTGAAATTGAAGTGGTAGCATTAACAAAAACGAAGTATAAAATAATTGAGCCTTGCTCAAAACATCAGTGAAACATTTAGCTTCAACTGCGAATAAGATGATGTTTTAATTTTCCGCAGGTCATGGACCAGAAAGAACACAAACTGAATGGAAAGGTCATTGATCCAAAAAGAGCTAAAGCCATGAAAACAAAAGAACCTGTTAAAAAGATTTTTGTTGGAGGCTTATCTCCAGACACGCCCGAGGAGAAAATAAGGGAATATTTTGGAGGTTTTGGTGAGGTACGTGGTGAAATAAACTGCTCATTACTTATAGAACTTGTTCTGTTTTCACAAATTTAGTAACAAAAAAGCAGCCCCCAAATGCAACCTGCATGGATCCTACTGTAAGCTTAATGGCCAGTGTAGCTCCATGTGTCTTAGTAGTCAGAATTTTAATGATAAGGGTATTATTTACAGGCTTTGAGTTTCATAAACTGGGTTAATGGAAGGAAGAGCTGGGATAAGTCAGAGAGGAACTGATTCATGGGCTGACGTCTTGAGTGGGATGGGTGCGGGAGGC